ATAACAATTATTTCCAAATGAAATGGTGATATGCTGGAGCGAAACACATTATCCTTACCCAGCGCTTGCAGTAGATGGAAAGACTGGTTTTTATTACACCGATGAATGTGATAATTTAGTGTACCTTGCCAAGGGAGAAATCGTAATCCTGAGGTGAACCTCCAGGTGGCAAACATATTTTATAAAATCAAATAAATTAATAAAAAAAATATATATGCGTCAATTTTGGTCGTTATCTGAGCCAAAACTTGCTAATGGCCTAAACGTCTCATAACTGTCTAGGTAAAGATTTCTGGAGTTATCAGGCACTTCGAGGTTAATAGATTCCCTTTTCAATCCTCAAAACTGCCCTGAATCCAGCAATACTTTGCCCAGAACGATCCTCTAGAGTTGCATCTTCATGCTATGGAAAGAAGTAGAATGTAAATTCAAGGATAATCGAAGTGAAAAGATATGTACTAAATTGAGATTCCAAATTACAGTGCAATTCTAAAAGGAAGTATTTTCAGAAATACGCAGACCATATAGAACATAGTGTTGGGCTTAGAACGATAAGGTCCCTTCCAGAACCCAGTTAAAATAGGAAATTCATCCTTATGAACGGACAAGACATCATTATCGCATATTCAAAGAAAGGGCATTCCCAAAGACCTAAAATTACTGAAACAACGGGAATCGTTTATGCATCTATGCCATAAATTACCATTGGTTCCGGTTATCAAGATATAGACGCATCCTGATGACCAGTACTATGAAATGAATCGCTCGTGAATAAGCATACGTGGGTCAACTACTTGCTACAGCCATTTTTGAGAAAGTGAGAATATTCTAAAGTAGTTTATGAGCATAATGATTGCCAAATGCAACATTTACATTCGCTTGCTGTTTGTGAGTAGAGGTTATTCGTCAGTCTTCCACATGACAGAAGAAGACTGCATTCAAGTTTTGATGTTCTCATCTGGAGGAGTTTTGAAAAACTAAATTGAGCAGTCTTCATTTATTTATTTTTTTTTGTTATCTGCCGAAAAAGTCCATTGGTCTAGTAGATGAAAGTTGTTACCTGCTCTGAAACGTAAGGAATGA